TGGTGATCGACTGGATCATGAAGACGTCAATGTCTGAAGGAAAGCGCGGGATACAATGGACATCTAAGATGCAGTTGGACGATCTAGACTTCGCAGACGATCTGGCCCTTCTATCCCAAACGCAACAACAGATGCAGCAGAAGACAAACAGTGTGGCAGCAGCATCAGCAGCAATAGGTCTCAATATACACAAAGGGAAAAGCAGGATTCTCCGATACAACACAGAATGCACCAATCCAATCACAATTGACGGAGAAGATTTGGAAGATGTGAAATCATTTACATATGTGAGCAGCATCATTGATGAACATGGTGGATCTGATACAGATGTGAATGCGCGGATTGGAAAAGCAAGAGCAGCATATTTACAACTGAGGAACATCTGGAACTCAAAGCAACTGTCAACCAACACCAAGGTCAGGATTTTCAATACAAATGTCAAGACAGTTCTACTGTATAGGGCAGAAACCTGGAGAACTACGAAAGCCATCATCCAGAAAATACAGGTGTTTATTAACAATTGTCTACGCAAAATACTTCAGATCCATTGGCCGGACACTATTAGCAACAACGTACTGTGGGAGAGAACAAACCAGATCCCAGTGGAGGAAGAAATCAGGAAGAAGCGCTGGAAGTGGATAGGACACACATTGAGGAAAGCACCCAACTGCGTCACAAGACAAGCCCTCACATGGAATCCTGAAGGCCAAATGAAAAGAGGAAGATCAAAGAACACATTACGCCGAGAAATGGAGATAGACATGAGAAAAATGAACGAGAATTGGATGGAACTAGAAAAGAAGGCCCAGGACAGAGTGGGTTGGAGAATGCTGGTCAGCGGCCTATGCTCCATTGGGAGTAACAGGCGTAAGTAAGTAAGTAAGTAAGTAAATTTTCTGTTTACGAGGAACGTTTAGTGATGTAGACAAATATACATAGAAATTGACCATGTAGTCAAGCAAAACACTATCTTCATCAAGTTGACATATAGATCTCAAGTACGACTAGACAGAATGACAAAATAATATTAATAGCATTAGTACATCAAGACTGATATAAGTGAAGAATAATTCACTCTAAAATAGGACGATGACCCTAGTCGAAACTATGCTCATTTATGTGTTAATCTGTGTACATATATGATTATTAATTAAATAAAACGTTACATAAACAAAAGTATTTTAAATTCCCATCTTTGTATATCGCGTTGAGCATAGTTCTTCATAATTGAATATCAGAATATCATATATTGAATAAAACGTGTTCCTAATATAAATCAATATTATACTGAATAAGATACCATATTAGAAATCAAAAACAACTTCTACATGAAATAATTATCATATTGAATTCAACAAAACGGAAGTAATATTAATCAAGAATTACAATGAATAAAGGAATGTAATTTTTTTCACCTTTATATCCTGTCATATCATTAAACAATATTACTAGATCTTTCATCATCATGTAGTTTATTTCAATTGAATTTATGGTTTTTTAAATAAATTTACGGTTTTAATATTTGTTAATGATAGTTCTGGTTCCTTGTTTCAAGTATGAAGCAGAGATGCTGTAAAGAGTCCGACAACGAGGTACTAAGATGGTACAATGTCTATCTGACCTATCTTATGAAGATAGACTGAGACACCTCAACTTATTTCCGTTATCTTACCGTAGAGTATGGGGTGATCTAATATTGGGTTATCATATACTGAACGATGACCTTGGTATTAACATGTCTTATCTTTTACTTCCGTCTAGGACTGATTATTTGAGAAGAAAGTTCAAAAACCGAGATCAAATCGTTTACGTCTGGAGTTTCGTTTCTCGCACCAAGTAGTGAATTACTGGAGTTCTCTACCGGAACACGTAATATCGGCACCTTCTGTTAGTTTATTCAAAACGAGATTGGACCTCCACAGTATTACAAGCTACAAGGATTAATATAGGTCGATAGACCTCTTATCCTTATTACTGAGGACTGAAGGATCTTTTTATAATGATGATTAAGAATGAAAAAACAACCCAGTGATAAGAAGCTTATTTAAAATAAATGAGATATTTTAATAGACCGATATCTATTATCAATTAGACTGTATGATTGATTGTTATTGAAACATATACATATGCTCATTTATAATTATCGACTTAATCCGAGTTATTGATTAACAGAATTAAATAAGTCAAATACGAGAATGGATGGTTGAATGCGTATATTTTGTACATTCGTTTGATCGGAACAGACAATCAGAGTATCGCAGCAAATGAAGAGAAGAAGAGAAAGAGAAGTAAAATAAAGGGATGCGTATTAGAGTTGGTGGGTGAGCCAACTCCATTTAATCAAGCGTTAATCAATATTTATAGCCACACAAAAACAAGTTAAAAACATGTAACGAGTAGGATGAGATGTACTTACACATACGCTCATATAAAAACAGTCAAGGTTGATAAGTGAATAATTAACAAGGTCAAAATGTGACTCAAGAAAAACGAATAAATTGGCCTGTTCAAGAGCTAGAATAAGTTATATGGATTTAACACAGTAACCGAGATTACGATATCAATATACATAAATTTTTGCACTAAGAAAACTTGAATACTGAGGAGTACCACAATAGAACGAAACGGCTGTTCAGTACTTTCAGGTTTTCCATGGTATAGTCTAGCTTCAATTAACTCATGAATTCAACCATTAAAATAACGAACCATTTGATTGCATATTTCAGATTAATGATTTTTTCACTTTGCATATTATAATTTTTAATTACTTGTTATGCTTCAATTTCTGTTTAGATTCATTCAATTTATAAATTGAAAATTCTTCAAGGTAAATTATTTGTTAAAACAAAATGTTCTTAACCAACATTAATAGTTAACATTCCATCTAAACAATCGGAATAAAATATCGTTATATCTTATATTTCATTTGGATTTTCGGATGTTAACATTTTAAACATTTTCATCTTGTATTGATATAACTGAATTAAGGGTTCGAACACAGTGCATTGAATAAGATTATACAAAAGATCTATATATTGTTCCCCAAGCATGTTGCGTTTATGCCGCTTATTTTGGCTTCAACTAATCTGTAATATAAAGCGACCATTATTTAATGACAATGATAATGTTTCTTCTCTACTGTGGCTTAATGAATACCACAAACCATTTATGAAATCATTTTGAATATAATCATCAGCTTAATTCGAGTGAATAAATGAAGATCTTGAAACATTTAACACTAGTTTTTTTCACAAAATAATGCCGGCTAATTATTTCAAACATATATATTTTATTCATTTTGTATTATCTGTCTTAATCTTCCCACTGATATTTAGGACTGCAAATGACCAACCTATAGTTCGTAAATGTGCAGTTTCTACAGATTGCTTCGATATTGTCCTAAGTCGCAAGCATTATAAGCAGAGATGGATGGTGGCTTGTATTGGAGTTAAGGACACGCGTTTAGTCCTATTTGTGACTCTTGGGCAGGATTTACCTGCATCTCAGGGTTGATGCTCACTCCAGGATGCAGATATATCCAGCTGAGTCCTAAATATGACGAAACGTGTGTCCTGGACTCCACTGCTAGTCACCTTCCATCTTTGCCTATATATATTCTATAAATTAAACCATAGAATCAGTAACTGTCTTTAAGTGCATTTGTACTAGTATACATAAAGTTTGTTAATATTGCTATATTTCGCCTTTTACATCTGAACTATATAAGTTTCAGCCCAAAGTGAGAAGTAATACTTTTGCGGTGTAGTTTACCGATTGTAAGTAAGACATAAGAATGTTTGTTTCTTATTTTTCGTCTTATAAGCATAAAAATCCTCTCAGTTATATACGCATATATTTAAATCTTTTACCATGAATAGAATATTTTTTAAAAAAAAATATAACCGACTATTTAATTATTCTATAGCAAACACTAAATCATCAAATAAAAAAGAATTGTATGCAGTAAACAGTTACAAAAGAAAGACTCAGTTGAACCGAACTATTTATAGATGAAAGTGTAATGTATTGGCTTCTGTTATTAGCTTCCTACAGTTTTAAAGAGTTGACCTTTCGCTATTAGAATGTTAAACATCATTTTGTGTCTTTTAACAGATCATCAATCATGATTACTAATTATCATAAATGTTTACGTTCCGAGGGGATTTTCTGACAAAAACTTCAACCCATCAATAATCGGAAAAAGTAGGATTTTACAAGTTTTTAATGACATTAACATTGAGAAGAAATAAATGAAAACTAGCAGTGGAATCCACAGCGCATATTTTGTCCTATCTAAGACTCGTCAGCTGGATGTGCATGCATCCTAGAATTGGTGTTCAGTCCGGGACTCGAACACAGTACTATTCCCTTCGAATGCCATCGCGTTATCTAATTAGCTACTGAGTCCAGATAATCACTAGCTTGTGAAGTGGGATGTAGTTTTAATTCATTTCTGTATTGGTTTTTTAAATCTACCACTGATGCTTATGACTGTAATTAACTAGTATCATTCGAGTTTGAGTCTCAGAGTGAACATCAACCCTAGGATGCAGGTTCATACAGCTGATGAGTGCCAAATAAGATGAAACGCGTAACGTGGATTCCACTGCTAACCAACATCCATCTTTGCTTATAATGTCTATGACTTGAGATAATATTGAGGCAATCCATACATGATGCAAATATGTCAAAAGAGATTGATCATTTACAATCCTGAACATCAATGAAAAGATTCAAATTAGCAGTAAATATAAATTTAACTGAAATTTTACCAGTTTCCTCATACTAAAATATGACAATAGAACATTTTAACTAAATCAATAAGTTTGCACAATTTAAATAAATTTTCACACATTCATTATGTCATATTATGAACTAATTTACTATTGGTTCATGTGATGAAAAATATTGACCAATGAGAAAATTATCATTTTGTCCGAATTCTATTGGTTCATTTCAAGATATTATCATTAGTAAAAACAAACAAATAAACCAATACACTTGAATGCTTTTCAATGAGATGCATCCATTTACATCATCATAAAACTTTAAAACTATTTTATATCATTATAACAAAATTTCATTTAAATCCATTTAGTTCTCTTCTTTTTTTTTATTCATTATTTTAAACAAAACAAAATTTAAAAAAATGAATTTTGTATCTTATAATGATAATTGTACTATATACATTGCATATAATCAAAGTGAATTAGTTTATACACCACCAATTTATATATTTTTAGTTGTTCTAAGTCCTATCGCATTAATTATTAGTTGTTTATCATTAACTGTATTAACACGACCACAAGCAATACGTTTAGGTTCAATGCGTATTAATTTAATTACATTAACAATATTTGAAGTATTATTAAATTCTATGATATTTTTAATATCATTATTTTATACAACAAATTTTCCAAATGATGAACAAAATTTATATAAAACAATTGTACATATTACATGTTTTATATTAATTGGTGGTGCATTATGTTCAAGAAATTGGACTATTACATTAATTTCATTAGCACGTTGTGTAGCTATAACAAAACCAATGATATCACGTAAAACATATTCACATTTATTTCAACCAAAATGGATGGCTATATTTACTATTAGTTGTATTTTAACAGGATTTATATTAAGTGCATTAAGATTATTTGAAATGCATATTGATATTTGTTTAAATCAAAATAATAAAATTATATTAATACCAAGTTCAGAATGGCGTATTGTAAAAGATTTATTTTTTACATTTCAATCAGCTATACCAATATTGATTGTAGTATTGACAACGGTAATAATGTTGATTGCATTATTTCGTCATAAATTACCAAATTTAAATCATCATCATGTATCAGATAGAATGACAAGACGTTTGGAAACAAATAATAATAATAATAAGACTGAGCATAATAGTATTATTAATACTAATAATACTGCGAATAATAATAATATTGTAAGTATTAATCGTAGTTATTCATGTGCAACAAAACATGATTATACACATACAAGACAACAACAAATTTTATTAGAATATAAATTAAATGAACGCCGATTACATAATCAGGCTAGAGCTACACGTATGATTACATTATTAACAGTTATCTTTATATTATTTGAAGCACCAGTATTTTTTTGTGTAACATTTGAATATAAATTTGATCGTGTACAATTTGATTTAGTAACAAATGCATTAAAAAGTTTAGTTGTTTTAGATTCATGTGCTAATGTGATTATTTATTTAATAATGAGTAGACGTTTTCGTCAAGAATCTGTAAGATTATGGAGATATGCAAGAAGACAAACAAGACAAGTGTTAACCAATCAATCAGAGGTGATATTTTAAATTTTTTTTAAAAAACAAAACAACAATCATGATTCTACATTTTGTTTCTTGACTATCAATTAAATTAGGAATTCAGTGAAGATAATTGTAAATATATACATATACATATTGTACAATAGAAATCATCCAAACATGCAAATGATGATGATGATGTTGATGTTGATGTAAAATATACTTACATTCATATACCTTTTTGTTTATTGTTGCTGATTAATAACCAATGGAATAATATGAATGGAATTATACATTTTATTTTCGTATATCATGAAATGTAACTTTCAATGATTAGAGAATATAATAAAGCAAGTGAGCAACTTACAGTGAATAGATAACTTTTTAAAGAAAGGCTTGAAATATGTAACAAATATAATGATTTTGTAAGTCATATGATATATATATATATATATATATATATGTAGATTTATAAATTGTATGAGTAGTCAGTGAAAAAACAACAACAGAAAATGACTAAAACAGATATAACCTATTTCCTATGTATTTCTGAACTGTAAAATATTCGTTACATATATTTGAAAATAAAATAAATATTAAGAAATGAATGAATGAATCTTGTATTGTTTCTATGGTAGGTTATGAATCATTGAAGAATAAGTGTATGATATAAATTCACTGAATTTTATAATACGTAATGAACATGTAACATTCGTCTATTTTTCTATTATGAAAACTTTTTATGTTTAATAATAAGAAAAACTGTACACATGTATGATGTTGTTAATGTCAATTTGATTTATGTAGATAACTGAAATCATATTTTGACCTTATCTGTAGATCATATTCATGTTTAGGTATTGAGATCAGATGGTGGTCGGAGGTAGTCGACAGGAAACCCTGGACCCGGGTTTCGTGCTACTTGACACTCGTCAGCAAGGTGTATCTGTAATCTTGAGGGAACTGGTGCTCCCTGGCGGATTCGATCTCGTGTCACCAAGCTTCACAGTCAGAGACGTTACCACTGAGCTATCCGAGCCGCGACCGTCCTTCTGTAGGACTGAGATGTAATCACAGTTGATTGATCACTGGGTGGCGATCAATGTCATGCAAGTGCCAAGTAGCGCGAAACCCGGGTCCAGGGTTTCCTGTTGACTACCTCCAACCACCATCTAATCTCAATACATAGTGCCCGCAGTGTCGAGTCACCTAGACTGGTGGCCACATTGCAACATGATCGATAGCATTCGATCTGCACTAATAAGGACTAGACACGCATGACATTGATCGCCACCCAGTGATCAAACAATTGTGATTTTTAGGTATTACATGCTGTATATTATTAACAATTGACTTCTATGTTCAATTTACCATTTCTATAGGAAAGTTTATAAAATCAAATGATTTAGCAGTGATTTATAACAAAATAACTAGAATACAATTTGATAAATCACAACCTAGTTACTGGTTAGAAAAAAATATTTTCCACCATCTCAAAATATTTTTAAACAATGAAAAAAAAATTGAATTATAACAGATAAAACAAAACTAGTTCTTAGATTGTTAGTCATGATTTTGACCGTGATAAATGAATTCAATTTATTTATTTGGTTCTTGGTTGCACAATAACTTCATTAAGTTCCGTTAGATACTTTAAGTAGATTGTATTGTCGATTTCGTTGATTAGTAAATACAACGAAAGCCTGATTTAAACAGACTTTAAAATGAAAAAAAGTTGGTTGACTTCGTCAAATGACGTTTTGTAATAATTTTCCTGTATCGTAACATCTACAAACTTCTCTATTGAACCAGTACACAAAAATATTTATCAAAGTTTTATGTTACTACATGTAGCCATTTCTTCATCATTAATTCTCTTAAACAAAGGTTGAATTTCTTTAATGTTATTCGGTAGTCTCAAATGAATCATAAATTGATTTGTAATTAGTTATCTTTGAAGACGCTGACATCACAAAAATTCTTTGGATTCTTTTTGATTTATATTCTAAACGTCTAGAAGTTTTCTGGCATTCTTGGAGTTGTCTTTATGTAGAATTAGTTTAGTAAATAATATCAACTTGTTAGAATTATAAATGCCTGATAGTGAAGTTTAATAAAAGTTATCAGAAACATTGAAGTAGATTAGTGAACCTTTAAAAGATTATCACAACAGATTAATTTCAAAGTCAGTATAAAAATGTGCTTATTTTATGTAGAATCAATTATGAAAACGACTTAATTGAACTTTCAGTTTTAAAAAAAGCAGCATCCCCTAAAAACATTTATTTTGATATACAAATGCTGTAACAAAAAAATCCAATTAAATAGACTTGAATAAGACTAGTGACATTGTTAAACAAACCAAACGAATATTTCTATGATCTAATTGAAAAAAGTTGTTCTGTAAAATTATTCGATTTAATTTAAGGATCAACTGGCTTTTCCTTTATGTAAACTTAGTTAAACAGAGAAAAGATGAAAATAATATACTTCTCGAACAGAAATTGACTCGTGTAGAGGTTAAAATACAAAGCATACTGGATATATATATATAATAATTTACAGGCCTTACATGGATTGCATCTATATTATATAGGCGGCCTGCTTGAGCATTTGGGCTACCTGTTCCTGCCATCTAGATATTTCAACAAGTTATCTATTATTGTTTGTTTTAATATATCATTATGTCTATTAATCGCATAACCTATCCTGGTGCATTTCTGAAAAGTGTACAACCTTTCGTTGTCAAAGTTACAAAAAGCCCAATAAGAGATTAATGTGGTCGCTGGCAATATGCAGAGAAAAGAATATACATTATTTAGATGTTCATTTACTGGACTGCTAACATCTAACTAGCGATCACTCAATATTTATCGTCAGGATCGACCAAGAAGTAAGAAACGGAAACTTGTTGAAATACTTTGTGCTGAGGATTGTACCAAAAATATAATACTGAACAAAGCTTATAATAATAATAATAATAATAATAATAATAATAAAACCCACATCAAGATATTGTAATTCAATAGATCACATCTGAGGTTTTAATGGATCCACTGAAATGCCAAATTTTATCTACTATCATTTATTATTTATATATTAAGCTACTCAATATTTATTGAATCTTGCTAAAAACATAATAAAATGATGTTCATTTACATAATAAAACCAACTATGAACAAAGTTCTACTTTATTCAAAATGTTCTTTTTATGTCATTTTGTTTCCTTTCGTGTGCCTTACCTTATTTTTTCTTCCATTTATATAATTACGCGGGAAAACGAGAGATATTTCTTTATGGTAGAAAAAAGACAATTAGATAGTTAATTAAAAATTCGACTTTTTGATTTACGGATAGGTATGACGTTAAGAGTGGGTGGTTACTAAAATATATTAGTTATGAATAATACTTAATATTGGATTTCCAATGTTCTTTATAGTTTATTTATTCCATTCAAATAGTCTTTACAAATAAAAAAATTTATTTTTATGAATTTTCTTTAACATAAAATTCATAGCAGGATTTTATTATAAAACGACAATAATCATGATAGCTAAATGTCAAATCCTTTACTTTAGTGTTTGATTTATTATCTGTTAGTGTTTGAAAATGTGACCACATATTGTTTATGTTGATCATATTCATTATACAATTGAATGAAAAATAATTAGTCAGTCAAATTTAAAAAAGATGGATAGTGTTAAGCAGTTGAATCCAGAATGCGCGTTTCATCCTATTTCAGGCTCGTCAGTTGGATGTACCTGCATCGCAAAGTTGATATTCACCTAAGGACTTGAACCCAGTACTATTCGCTTCAAACGTCATCGCGTTATCCACTTAGCTACTGAGGCCTGATAGCTACCCGCTTGTCCAATGGGGTGGAGTTTAAATTTATTTGATACTTTTTACTTGAATCTTCCCATTGGTATTTAGGACTGAAATTGATCAGTCTCTTATTGACATATGTGCATTCCGTGAGGGTTACCTCGATATTTCGGTAAAGACACTCTGTAATTTCGCAATAAACAATAAATTGGTCTTCCCAACCTGAATTTGCTTGTAATCCTGTCTTTAAGTATGTTTCGCTATAGTGACTTCAAAGGTAAGGCAGAAAATAATTAGGTTCAATAATTTGGTTTCAATCTGACAGGCTGGCAAACCATTTACAAAACCCATATCTTTCAACCATTTACATTGTAATTATTCTTTGATCACGTAGACTATATATTAGACTATAAAATTATACTCAACTAATGATCAGTTATTTTCAATTCATATATCTATTCAACTAAATATCTGTGCTTTATTTTGAATTGTCATTTACACCATACTATTTCCATGAATATCATCTATTCATTACATAATTCCTACATTTTTCATACATTTGTTCTAACAATTTTAAATAAACTTAAATCAGAAAATATTTGATGCAGTCAAACTGAGAACGGCTAATAAAGATCGATTGTCTAAATTCACCACATCCATGTGTATTTACCAATTCAACAGCTCCTGCGAAGCAAGGTATATAGGACATACAATTCGGCAAGTTCGTATAACAGAATATTATCCATCGCGGTTGAACAATGTACAGATAATAATGATTAAAAGTTCTATTCGCGCTCATTTGATGGAAACAGGTCATCAAACTGAACTGAATAAAGTTTTTAAGGTTATCTATCATATTCTATGAAATCAAATTAATCAGTCTACCTTTAGATTATCCATATGATTGTAATAGTTTCTTTCCTTCTTTATTTTTAAAGTAATTCTGCTGTTTTGAATTAGTTTACTTTATATACTTTTCTTATATTCAGTAAGTGTATTTACTCTAGAAGAAAAGATATCTAAGGGAAAAAAAGTTGTTTTCATTCTATTTTTTATATTTTAAAAAGAAAAGAAAGTACTTCAAACTACTTTTGTTTCTAATCTGTACGTTCCTGATCTTGAAAGATGATAAAACACATCACAGAGTAATGATCAATAGTAAATCAAAAAAGAAAAAAGAGAAAGATCATTTATTTTTACATCAGATTAACATGAAAGATTGATTTGTTTCTTTTTTTGTTTTTTTCTCCGTTTTATTTCTTTATACAGTGAGATCTTTTGTTGTTGTTGTTGTTAGAAGATTAAAAGATAAAGATGGTTGTTAGTTTAGTTTTTGTTTAGTGATGTCTTTGAAGAAATAAATTTGCATGTTTACCGAATTATATTTTATTACTTTTAAATGAAATGGTTTAAACTGACCAATCAATCAATCAAACAACTTTTTCTTTTGATGATATTATTTGTGGATAGTTCTATTGTAACTACAATTTCATTGAATGATCTATCAAGTTGAAACCTAAAATACCCAA